CACACACACACACACACACACACACACACACACACACACACACACACGGATCGACTAGGACAGGCCAGGGATGAGCACACCCCATCTGATCTGTGGCCCGTTCATTCATTAGACCCATGCTCTCCCTTATTGATTTCAGCTTAAATAATGAGAAAGCTTATCCAAAAATCTTTAGCATTTGGGCTCCAACTTAAGGGAATCGATGGGGCCATTTCCCATTTTGAACAGCACATACGCAGGGGTTTTATGTACGATGAACGGGACAAATCCAGATGCTGATAAATCAATAGGCCTTTTTGTCGATGGACAGGCATGCTTGCACACACACATACATGCATACATGGACACACATGGCTGATAAATGGTATTTTTGAGGCAATTAAAGTAAGCTGTAAACATATGAAGGCCAATCAATTGGCCAGTGAGGTCTATTATCAAGGCTTTAACACTGATTTAGAAGGGGCTTTAAGGAGCCAGCAGCTTTAAGTGTGCCACAGTCACTTATGCAAATCAGCAGCAGCTAGAGACCTGCACAGATCAGTGCTGCACTGTGCTAAGATGCTCACACAACAAGATAGTATACATGTCACCACTACAGAGCCTCAGAACTGCTGCCTACGGGGAAAGGTGTGTGAAATGAAAATGTGCTTCTAAGGGACTTTAAAAGCCCTATTTTGTTTATTGGCTTATATTATGTCTAAAAGTTTTATTATTCAACTCAGTCTGATGTAGGAAAAAAAACAAAAAAAAAACACCTTTAGCCAATACCGTAGCAAAACATTTAGAAATGATATTTTTGCTGCTTACCAAATCTTTCCAAACAAACAATGCGGTCAAACATGGCGCCAATATCAACTCCCTGTTCGCCATAGGCATTGTTGAAGAATTTGATCATTTATTCTCTCCCTAATTCATTTTTTTTTGTAGTAAATTGCAGTTTGCATCTAGGTGGAACAATAAGAGGGGAGAGGAGGAGCTGTGTGGTGGACAATTCTATTTTAGGGGGGGTGGACAAGCTTGTTAGGAGGAAAACGAATACATCAGTGCTGTCCAGCCTCCCCCCCCCCCCCCCCCCCCCACTGCTTCCACTTTGCTAAAGGTGAGACACGTGTGTCAGCAAAGCCAACCTACAGACAACATATCCCTGAGGTAATTGGTTCCGCATTAATATTCATTTGATTCTGTATTCAGCAGCTACGACAAGCCTCTCTGCTTTGATGCTCTGTGTCTCGGCCCCCTCGTCCACCGCACACTGTTAACCCTGAAACTAGGAGTTCAGATAAACCGCCACGTTGAGGCCTTTTTTTTTTTCCCTGCTATGTGAAAGACTACAATGATATAAAGCTAAACTAAGATCCTCCTCCCCTCCTAGTGTGATTTAGTTTGACTCTGGTATCTCTCACTTTGACTTGTCTTTGCATACCACTGCTTCAGTCTAGTTGATCTGTTGTGTGTGCATGTGGGTTGCTGAGGAATGACATTTAAATTGTGCATCCAATCAAATTGGCAGAGAGGCAGTAAGGAAGGTTGGGGAGTGATGAGGGGGTGCGGGGGTGTTTCGAAAGGGTTGCAGAACAACCGTTGCCATGGTGAACCACTTCTGTCAAAACCACCAAGGTCACAACTGCTGACCTGCAGTGTTATGGGACTTCTGAATAGCAAACTGTATGGACATGAGGATTTCTCTCTTTCTTTATCTTTGTTCTCGTCATTCTTTCATTTTGTCTCTCTTTCTTTCTTTCTTTCTTTCTTTCTTTCTTTCTTTCTTTCTTTCTTACTTTCCTCCCCCCCTGCTTTGCTTTTCTCCCATCTTCTTTCTTTTCTCTCATCATCTTTGCTTATTTCTCTCAATTTCTTTCTCTATACGTTTATTTTATATGCCCTTCCTCTCTTTCTTCCATTTTTAAGACTGACTAATTGTGCCATTATGAGGCCTGTGGTGTTGCTGAATACATTATGTATGGCCTGTGCTGGCAGTGAGTCTGAACACGGCCTGTTTTGAGTCATTATAATTCCGTTTGCTAACACACAGCCATTGTGCTAGTCTGGGGTTAGGGGAGATGGTATGATAAAATATTGAGGGCGAGCGAGGCAGCTGCAGATGCTAGCTGTCATGTGTGAGCGAATGAATGTTATGACAAGCATGTTTAAACATTCATGCAGGGAGGAGAGTTTAGGAGGGCTTTTCATTAACACCAATATGTCTTCGTCTCCCTGGTGCAGACACTGCTGGTGTTAGCATGACAACAACAGGGAGGAGAGGAATTAACATCTTGAGAGGAAACTGTCACAGACGCACACTAACAGAGAGGTAGAAACAAGCCATCTTGTGCATGAGCACACACACAAGCATACGCATTTTTACATTGGCTGACTACTCCGAGTATACCGTACATCTAACAGGAAAATGTACTGAGTGAAATTGACTCTCCACTTTCCAACTCTAACAGACACCAAGACAACGTTCTGTTGTTTACCAGAACAACGATCTGAAAGTGTAACGCCATGTTCTGAGCTGATCAAATAGCTCACAGTAGAACTGAGCAATGCATTCAAACAGGAAGAAAACTGAAGGAGTGCAGTGGGTTCCTTACTTCAACCACAACAATGGCATAATAGAAATGATTTTTTCAAAAGGAAGAATAAAGATGTGGGAGGTTTCTAGGCCAAACTTACATCACCCACCACGCTGTTCAGCTGTTAGGAGAGTTGACCTGTTAGCAACGGTGCAATCTCTTGACAGTTTCTGGAGACTAGAAGACAAGCTATTTGTGGCATTTGTTGGGAGCAGAGCAATGGCCAATCTGTTTGTATAACCTTGATGCAGATAAAGCGATACGTTGAACAGGTAATGGGCAGAAATAACAGCTCTGTGATAAATGGGTGAACACTGTCCATGTTAATAAAAAAAATCATATTCTTCTTATCTCTTACTTAATTCCTTTTAACATATCTGAGGAGTATGTTGCCTGTGATGAAAAGCAGATGACGTGCATATTACAGTGGTGTAGTAACAAAGCTCAACATCGTTACTCCGTTACTGTGGCATGTTATTATGGAGGAGGTATATACACATTTTAGCTCACTAGAACTGCAACATCAATACCTATGCTGATGATCTCATGAAGTCAAATCCAGGCAAAAGAGAAAAAAAGGAGCATGACGTACTCTTAACATAAGTGGCTTTGACTTGCAAAATGTGTTTGCATAACATGAGCTTGAGATAATGTCATAAATGGCTTTAAATGCTGCAAGGTGCATTAACAATATGCACGGTCATCGGTTTTACCCGCACCTTGACGCAAACATTTTTGAATTAATCTCGTTTTTACTGGTCAAGCAATTCCATTTTAATATTCAAATTTGGTGTGTATGCTTGCATGCGAGCCAGTGCACACTCGTGCGAGACTGATGTAATCAGTCTTAAATCAGTTAATAAGCCAAGGACACAGAGGAGATGAGTCAGCTGATGTGAGCATGAGCTAATATTAGCATCTCGCCCCCCATTCAAGACCTGTACCGCACAGAGTCGCATCGCGTGTTTGGTCTCCCCATTACAAAAGTGCAGGCTTTGGACGTTAAGCCCCGCAGTTTAGCTAACCACAGTGAATTCCATTAGCACATTAGCTAAGGTGCCATGACCTAATGCTAATGTTGGGTGCAGCCTTTAATACCATATCCGTTTTTCAAAAAAAAAAAAAAAAAAAACTTCAGCAAATTTGGAGAGTAGCCCTTAAACTGTTCTAAAAGAGAAACCAAGTGTTATCAAAATATATATATTTTAAATAAATAGACTTATAGCATACAGGACTCTGAGCTTTAACATCATGCCACACAGACCATACCAGAGTTACAGGTCTTAAATGAATTCTCATCAACTTGCTCCACAACAAACTACATGCCTAAATGTTGCAAACACAGGTGCACAAGCACATAACACAGAGACAAACAGATAGACACGCATACATAAAGATGCAATTCATGTGCACACAGGAACTTAAACTGACTAGTAATTAAAAGCCAGAGCATGGAGTTGATTCGGGGTAGGCGGTTCATGACACCACAAATCTGGGAGACTTCCTGTAAGACATAAATCTGTTGCTCTCCCTATCTGCCCCTCTCCCCCTCTCTCTACACAGAGACAGTCTTGTCTGGGTGTCTCCCTCCCTTCGCTCTCCTCACTGTTCATTTGAAGCTCAAGAAGCTTTGGTGAGGTTCAAAGAAAATCTACATTCTCTCTTCAGTCACTCATTCATTCCCTCTATCTTCTTCGTTCTGGTTTGCTCTTGCTTGTACTCATTTTCTCCCCCTTTCTCTCTCTGTCCCTCTGCAAGTGTCTCTCCCTCTCCTCTCTAAACACTGTCTCTTCCACATGGCCCGGATAATGAGTGGCGAAGCTAAATGAGAGGAAATTCACTATTAGGATGGGAACGCTGACTGAAGGTTTTAAATAAACGGAGAGAACTTCAGGCCAAATTGTATTTCCAAGGACATAAACTAATGGAACAGGCAGACATCCTCTGAACAAATACACACTCAGTTTAAACTACTATAAGAGTTGTAGAAATATACAATGTCCATGTGGATATAACTGAAACACAGACTGGCAGAAGGCAGACAGAAATACATATAAATGCATTCATCCCACCATATGCATGTAGAAAACCACAAACACTGTTTACATGAATTCAATACTGCTTATTTCCTTGGTGTGGAAAGCCTATTACTCCGCATTCAAAAGAAAAACAATAAGGACATGAAAGAAAAAACATAAATGCTTGTCTATGTCATTGAAATCTAATTAAGCAAATGTGTTTTCTTAAGTGTCTCTGATATCCTCTCAGGCATAGAAATGCACACCCACATATAAACACACAGAGGAGCCTCACTCTATGGGGTTAATTGGGTTATCTAGGCTGATTAGCATAACTAATAAGGATGCTTGTTAACGGATAAGAATTATTTATTCAATTAGCACTCTGAGTGTATGTATGAAGCTGTGCATGTGTATAGATCCCCCGTTCATCACTGGCACGAGTTCAAATGAAAATGAAGCAGAGCTAAGTAGGCATGAAGTGAGACCCGTGTGTGTGTGTGTGTGTGTACTCCATTTATCTATTCTTCACACAGATGCTCACCATCAGTCATCAGACCCCACCCGTTCACCCCTACCAACACCCCTACCCACACACACACCATGCCCGCTATGCTGTAGCTCTTAAATCCCTAATCATCATCATCATTAGTCTTCTGTTTAGCATAATTAGTATTGTTAACCAGATGAGCTGAGTCGAGTCAGGCTGTGCCAGTCACACAGCAAATGACATATGTCACCCTCCTGGCACCTTTCCAGGCAGCTGAAGAGGCTACTTGTCCCCATCAGGTGGGTTTGTGGCACATTTGCATGCTTTCACTGATTGCTGATGGGTAATGTAGCAGCTGATGTTCACAGCGTGTTCTGATGCATTGTGTGCAAAAATGTCCAAAGAGAAGTTGGTTTTTTTAATAATATTTTTTAGGGCAAACAGCTTGTAAAGTGACACAACTCTTGCAGTTATATCAGTTAATGGAACAATACTGAGAGCTCATTTCACCAATTCATTCATTCGTGTTTGCAAATGTAGATGCTGCCTTTTGTTTGTGATGCTTAACATGCGCTTCTAGCCGACAGTAAACACGAAAAAAGCAAATCAACAACACTTCTCTAGTCTTCAGCTCACAAGTGAAAACTCACAAACACACTCCAACACTCACAAATAACCAGAGAGGGGAAAATGAGAGAGAAAGAGAGAGGCAGAGCGCTACATTTACTGAAATTAAACATTTTCTCATCAGCCTGAGGGTGCAGCAGGCCCACTAATGTATTATTCATCCCCACTTCACAAAGGAACATTAATCAATTATGAAGATATGAGGATCTTAAAGTATAGAGGAGAGACGAAGAGCGGCCCGTTCGTATTAATATGCGGCCGCAATCCTGCGCCCCCACCCCCCCTGCTCCTCAAATCAATATTTTGCAGATTAATTTGGAGAGGTTGTGGCGAGATGGCAGGATGGAAAGAAGGAGGGGATGTGGGGGTGGAGGAGAGGAGAGAATGTCTGAGGTCTGAATTAAGGTGAAGTGTTTTGTCGTAATTTTTTTTACAAGTCCGTGTAAGTGCGTGTACATGCGTGCGTGTAAATATGCTGTCTTCTGTAGTGCTGTAAGTAAACATACTAGAACCGCGCAATTGAGAAAACTACATGGTAAAACATATGACTGAAATATTCAAAGTTCCAAAGAGGAGAGACTATTTCAAACATGTAAATTCATCTTTAATTGAACCTGGGCATCTTTTAATTGTGGATGAAGGTGTGTAATTGTGTGATGAGCTCGTGATGAGGAAAAAAGCATACATGAGAATTCAAATGAGGGAACACAATGAAGAGAATCAATGTTCTTACTTGCAGCCAAGTTTACACATTACCACCCATTGTTGAGTAGTCTGGTTAGATACAATAGATCTACTAAGTACATCTGTAAACTCACCTCACAATTCAACATAGCTTCCTTCTCAGTCCACTTTTCATAGACTTGAGTATGGGCCTCTGTCTCCTCCTCAATCCCCCTCCTCCACTGTTCCTCCCTCTCCTCCTCCTCCTCCCTCTTTTGTTGCTCCTGCCTTCTCCTCTCCTCTGCTTTCTGATGCTCCTTTTCATATTTCAGTCTCCGTTCGTCTTCTCTTTGCCTCCATTCCTCCTCTTTTCTCTTCAGCTCCTGCTGAAGCTCGCTTGCTCTCACATTCAGCCTGGAGAGCTAAAGTCGGGCAGAAAAAAAAAGAAACAGAAATGGGCAGGCAGTCACATCTGAACCAGTCACTTAATCTCAAAACTAATCTGAAACACCAAGAGGGTCGTTGCAGGGCAGCATCATGTCAGACAGTTATGTGCTGTGTTCAGTTCCTTTACATACCAGCTGTTTTTCATATACCAAAAATAGCTCGTACTGTTCTCTATGTGGAAGTACATGTGTGCAAAGAGGAATCCCAACTCATAAATTGTGGAAAGTAACTAAGTACATCTCCTCAAGTAGATACTAAAGTACAATTTTGAGGTACTTGTACTTAAATGAGTAATTCCATGTAATGTTGCCTAAAACTTCTACTCCAATCGATGATCTTACTAGTTATTTTTCAGGTCTAGATCTTACATGAAAACATGCATCTATAATAACTAAAATAAAATATCAGTCATTGGGGAAATGTGACTGCAGAATAAATGTACTTTAAGCTCGTCAGTGGGTCAGCCTCACATGCACTAACATGCGCGCTGCTGGCCCGGCTATGTCAACAAAGTGCAGACAAGTTCTGATAACAACACACTCTGCTCAGGTAGACATTACTCCACGATATCTTTACATATACATTATCTATAAATATGATTTTAAATGCAGTACTTAAATACAACATTTGTAATCGACTATTTTCATGCTGTTTTATTAATATTTTTATTTGCGTAAAAGTATCTCAATACTCCTTCCACCATTGCAACTCATTCATAATCTGCCAGTACCCACCTGAGCGTGTGTGTCGGCCCCTTCCTGTTGCAGCAGCTCAATGTTAGCTTGCAGTTTGGTGATGCGGACGTCTTTCTCAGCGATCTCCTTCATGTTGTCTTTCTGGATCCGCTGCAGACATGAGAGCTCGCTCTGCAGGTGCACCAGCCTCTCGCTACTTTCCAGCACCTGTGTTGCAGTCTGGACCATGAAAATATATTTTTTTAAAAACAAACATTAGTAGCTTTTTTTATATTTTAATATTAATTGTTCATATCTCATTTTAAAAAGGACCTTTTGTAATTACGGAGGATTTTCATATACCATAAGTATAATTTATTAAAATGTATATATTTAGTCCCTCTCAGGTAAAACAGCTGTTTATGTCTTAAACTAGAATATTCTTTTTCCGTCACTTATGCGGTCATATTGTAAAGAGGTCAAGCAGCGGATAATCGTTGTGTGAAGGACACACTGCAACCATGTTAATAATTCACATAGCATTGAAAACCCGTCAACACAGCCAGATTCAAAGGAATTACATGTATACCTGCCTTGTTTTCATTGTTAAGGATATAAAGTAGTTTTAATTGGGCTTCTGAAGTGTCAGATTCTGTGAATGTATTCAATTATACTGAAACTGGCTTATTGCCAACAAACAAAGATGCAATTCTGTGGCAATCATCTTTTTAAAAGCTGTGTGTGTGCGTGAGTCCGTGCCAACAAATCTACCCGTGCATCTGCATTGCAGACGTACCAGTTAAACAGAAATACAAGCAGAATGAAAACACATATCAACATTTGTTGAAGATATGATTAACAGAACAAGCTCCAGTAACTCTTGCTTGTTTCTCTTAGGCTGTGTAATCACACAAACCACTAATTAGCGGCGGTGCAAATTAATGACTCAACTCACAAGCAGAATGAACAAACATTAACCAGCGAACACACACATAAACAACTAACAAGCCCAGGTTTACCACAAGCATGAATGTATGTGTGTGTGTGTCTGCATATCTGCAAGTCTGTGTGTGTTTACGTGCGTCTTAACCGTAAGCCACAGAAGACAGTAAAACAGCAGTGGGTATAATTTAGTGACACCCTATAAGGAGGTGTGGGAAGGCTGTAAAAAACTCTCCCTTTTAATCCCGGTCGGCGACGCCATGTTTGTTACCCAGGGCTCTGAGATATGCCGGTAATTCATCACCCACGCCTCGGCTTCCTGTTAAACCTGGCTGCACATGGAGCGCTTCTAGCAAGCTGCCAAACCAATATCGTAAAAAAAAAAAAAGGACTTCTACACCTCTCAGACAGGCTTCTAAAGAATAACAAGCACCCTGCAGAGAAATTCACCTTAACAAGTAATGTAATTGTGTAGACAGTCTTATAACTGTGCTAACAAAAATCAGCTGGAAGGATAAGATTTAGTTTTGTTGTTTACATTAGAGGCTTACTTATTTGAGGAACACCTTGAAATAAGGGAAGTCAGTCCAAATACAGTGTATGCAATGTACTGTACTCAATTGAATCTTAAGAAACAGAGGAAAGACTTTCAATAAGCTAAATGATCTTAACCAAAAGGCAGAAGTTTGAGGGCTGGACATATATCTTGATGACATTTTGTGGTGTGATCTTGTAGTTCATCCTTTGTATAAACTCAAGGTCCAGCTGGATTACCTTTTGTTTCTGCTGGAAACTCTCTCTGAGGTCCCTCTCCAGATCACAGATGACCATGTCCTCGGTTTGCAACTGGATTTTCCGGTCTCCCAACTCAGATGTGATCTGGACCAGGGAACCAATACTAAAGCAGAAAGACGGACAGCAAAGGAGAGACAGTATGATACATGGCAACGATTTACAGGAAAAACAGGTGAAATTAAACCATCACTGCACTTGTAATACTATACAAGTTACAGATATATTCACTGGTACAGTTTCCAGTATATGTATTGGATAGGAAAGAAATGTGATCACAATTACAGTAAATTACAATAACATGACAGATCTAAACACAGCATATGGTGATGTATATCATTGTATAGCTGTGTTGGATAGCTGTATCAAAAACGACAGAACATGAGACACTAAACTAACACCGAGTGAACCTTGATGGGTAATTAAGATTTTAAATAAATACATGCAATGCTTTCCAACATAAAATAATAACAAATAGATAAGCAATCTGCTCTGTGAACAGCATGCAGCGCGTATCCAGTGTAATATGTGATTCATGAAAAAAATCGAATTCAAAAGCAGCAAAGAGATGCTGAGCCCGGTGAAATTTGTGCTCGGTGACAGCAACTGGAGCTGATATGCGTCTGTCTGTGTGTGTGTGTGTGTGTGTGTGTGTATGTGTGTGTGTGTTTCCCAGCGGTGAAAATATGTTAACTCTGCCCAGACACCTTCTGAGTCACCAGTGACAGCTGTCACACGCCCAAGATGGAAGAAGAGGGAGGGAAAAAAAGAAAACACATCACACGGCACTGTGCGGTACTCTTCACAAACACATGCACGTACACACACAGACACACACACACTATTTCATATTTACCAGCCTCATGAGAGGAGTTATTCTGATGAAACTTTGCGCAGATTAAAAATGGTAAACTCACATTTGATCAAGCGTGTCTACACGTTCGCACCAAGCAGGGACGGGGAAGGCAAGATTTGACAAAAGTGACATGTGAGTGGATCGAGAGCGCTGAGAGTTAAATCTTTCACTTCAGGAAAAAAAACAACTTTTCAGTCAAATGGAGTAAAAGCCACAGAGGAGAGTGAACAAACTGACTTTAGATTATAGTCTGTTTCTGTGTCTAGAAGAGAATGGGAAGGAGTGCGTGCTGCTGTGCTATCAATTCACTTGATAGTTTTATTCCACTCAAACTACACTGTTCCTTTGTTATGAATCATCACTTTGCTGAGCATTTCACTAAGAAAATCTGTTTTAAAAAAAGAATGTACAAAAACTGTGTACTCCTAACCACGCACAGACGCTTTTATGGGTGTATAAATGTGGAGACAAAGACAATCTTCCCTAAATATATGCACAAATATCAATCCTCAACTTTTACAAAGGTTAAAACTGTCTACAGTTGCATTATAACATGATTTCTCTTATTATTTTGGGGCTTGTTAGATGGAGTGAAGAAGCTTGGTCTGTTTATTAACATTTTAAAAACGCATTCACCCATCAGTTTGGTGGAAAAATACTTAAATCACCCCAAATTTAGGAGATTCTTTCGAGACGAACGGTCTGAAATGGGAACAAGTTGAGAATAGAAAAAGGGTTTTGAATGAAAAGTAACTGCAGCCAATTTCATCCCTATACTCTGCATGGGTTTAGAGGTCTGTGCGTATGAGTGTGTACATGCATATGTGTACTCGCTAGCTGAGATAAGGAGTATAATTTTGTTGTGTCTTGTAGTTTTTAACTCATTTTTGGAAAAAATAAATACGAAAACCTGCAACACATTCTGACCTGCAACAAGTCAAAATGCAAATGTATTAATTGACTGCACGTGCATGTGATGTGTGTATGTGCACATCAGGTCATGATTATGTACGTAACAAATGAGGCTATATGATTTACTATATTGTTATATACAATAAAGCAGTTGTGCTAAACAAATGACACAATGTCAAACCAACAGATGAACAGGGAATTCCTACTTAGAGCCCTAAGTGTTGTTATGATTACTGTGTGGACAAAGAGAGCAGGGCGAGTGAATGTGACTGAAGTGTGTGTGTGTGTGTGTGTGTATCACCGTTAGTGTATGTAATATTAAAGCAGGCTCTCGATATCTCAAGCTGTCACTCAGGCCTATTAGGCAAGGCTAACAAAATTAGTCATGAATATGCAGTAATAACATGCAAATTGCCACTCCTTCCCCCTGTCGTGTGTGTGTGTGTGTGTGTGTGTGTGTGTGTGTGTGTGTCGGTATGCATGTTGCCCCCAGGGCCATAGACATTGGCTCTGTAAACCCAATTCTTTCAACATCATTACAGCAACAAGACATAATTCATAAGAATAATATAAACATGCATGTAGCCTGGCATACATGCGCAAGCGCACACACACACACAGACACTTGTCTGCGCACACACCCACACGGGACACTGGTAGGCTACGCTGCCCTCTTCACATGCCAGGGCCACTATACAGCAGCTTGTTGTTAACCACTTTAATGTTGACCAAAGTGCTTTAAGATTTCCAATGCCATATTTTATGCTTAAACACACACATTTGTGCATGTGCGTACACAAACATGCTGATCGTAAGTTGCTTCAGAGTCCCCAGGGTGATGTTTGACACAGCCTGGGTGCTGCCACAGCAATTAACCTCCCTGTTAATGAGAAGAGCTCTGTCAAGCAGCCAGATGGCACCGCCTGGCACGTTGCCATGCGCGCACACACACACACACACACACACACACACACACACACACACACACACACACAGCAAAGATATACACTCTCACACATAGACATGCACATACAGTATGTGCACATGCACGAGCACACAATCCTGTCTTCCGCTGCTGTACACCTAACTGTTGCTGGTTGTCAGTGCCCCTCATCCCTCCCTTTGGCACCCCCCCCCTCTTTACTTCTCTCCTGCATTGTCTTCTAT